CTATATATATATGTGTGTGTGTGTATCTATCTATCTATCTATCTATCTATCTATCTATCTATCTATCTATCTATGTATCTATCTCCTGTTAGCTCTGTCCCTCTAGATGTCACTCACTAATACAGGAGGTTTATTAAGTATTAACTCACTCAATCACCAGGTCTCACAATAGGCCATCTCCTGGCTGAGGAGCAAAAAGAGCCGACCAGAGTTCCAAAACTGAAGACCTTGGAGTCCATGTTTGAGGACAGGAAGCATCCAGCACAGGAGAAAGATGTAGGCTGGGAGGCTAGGCCCATCTCTTCTCACATTTTTCTGCCTGCTATTTTCCTGCCTGTATAGTCTAGCTGTGTTGGCAGCTGATTGCATTGTGCCCACGAAGATTAAGGGTGGGCCTGCCTTCCCCAGCCCACTGACTCAAATGTTAATCTCCTTTGGCAACACCCTCACAGACACACCCAGGATCAACACTTTACATCCTTCAATCCAATCAAATTGAAACTCAGTATTAACCATCACCAGCCCACTCCTTGTCAACTGGAACCCACACACATTTCCTGAGATCAAACATAATGTTAAAATACAGACAATAGTAAGGTCATGGTTACCTCTAACATAATACAACTATGCTTCCTACAACTGGAAATGCACCAATCCCCAACCCAAAAACTATTACACAAAATGAACAATACCTAAATGCTCATATGAGGTCAATAAATCTTATGTCACCTGATAGAGAAACCGGAAATGAAGATAATTTCTTAGTACAAGTGTATACGTGCACAAATATGTTTTTAACAAAAGAAGAAGGAAATACTCATGATAGTTCCAGTCCTCATTTCTGCAGCTGGTCACGTGGTTGTAGCTGATATTGATCACTACCTTCTTCCACTATTCATTCTGTATTCCCTTTGCCTTCAGCAAGCACCTCAGGAAGTCGTGACCCAGAAAGGATCTCGACCATTTTTAGTCCTACCTGGATTGGGTATAGTTTCCCATCGACCTTAATCAGAGTGCATGATAATACCAAGAGACGCCCTAATGAATCTCCTATATTCCATACACACTCTTCGTCACTTCTATTGTGGAGTAGTGGACTGAGTTCATCTTGATAGTCTGGGTCAATCACCGCAGCCAACATTGTAACACCATTCTTAGCCTGTTGACTTAAAGGTAGGAGGAGCCCAAAGTGTCCAGGTGGCCAACTTAACTTCCGGTTTAATGGAATCATTATTGTGTCTCCTGGTGGCAGCGTTCTTCCCTCTAGAACTAAGATGTCTAGCCCAGCAGAACATAATGTCGCCGGAACAGAAAGCAAACATTTTGCTAGTGGATCACTAGAGGTAATAGTGAATGGTTTCACTTTCACTTCCACCCCTTGAATCCTGGATCTGTGAATCCTGGCTATGGGAGAAACAGTACCATACAGTGGGTGCTGATTCAGAGCATACATGGCCTTCTGGAGTACTTTGCTCCAGCCCTGCAAAGTATTGTAACCTAGTTGATGTAAATGTGACCTCAAAAGGCCGTTCCACCATTCTGTCAAATAAGCTGCTTCAGGATGATGGGGAACATGGTAAGATCAGTGAATTCTATGAGCATAAGCCCATTGCCCCACTTCTTTACCTGTAAAGTGAGTGCTTGGTCAGCGGTAATGCTGTGTGGAATACTGTGATTGTGGATAAGGCACTGCTTGAGTCTATAAATGGTAGTCTTGGCAGAAGTATTGTGTGCAGGTAGGCAAACCCATATTCGGAGTAAGTGCCTATTCCAGTGAGGACAAACCTCTTTGCTTTCCATGATGGAAGAGGTCCAATATAATCAACCTGCCACCTGGTAGCTGGTCGATCACCCCACAGAACGGTGCCATACAAAGGATTCATTGTTGGTCTCTGCTGCTGCTGGCAAATTGGGCACTCAGCAGTGACCACAGACAGTACAGTCTTGGTGAGTGGAAGTCCACGTTGCAGAATCCATGCATAACCTCCATCCTTCCCACTATGGCTACAATGTTCATGGGTTCATTGGACGATGACAGGGGTGTCTGGGGAAAGAGGATAAGTGGTATTCACAGAATGGGTCATCTTATCCACTTGATTATCAAAATCCTCCTCTACTGAAGTCACTTGTTGGTGAATGGGATACAAATATCTTCACAGTTTTTGACCACTCAGAGAGGTCCATCTACATACTCCTTCTCCAAATTTCTTTGTCACCAATTTTCCAACCATGCTTCTTCCAATTCTATGACCATCCAGCCAAACCATTGGCTACAGTCCATGAATCAGTATATAATCACACATCTGGAAAATTCTCCTTCTATGCAAAGTGCACAACCAGGTGCACTGCTCAATGTTCTGGCCACTGGGAAGATTTTCCTTCACCACTGTCCTTCAGGGATGTCCTAGAAAGGGGCTGTAGTGCTTCAGCTGCCCACTTTCAGGTGGTACCTGCCTATTGTGCAGAATCATCTGTGAACCAGGCCCTAGTCTTCCCTTCCTCTGTCAGCTGCTCAAAGGGAAGTCCCCGTGAGGTCATCGGTGCAGGCTGTGGGAAAGAAGACAGGGTGGCAGGAGTGGAGATCATGGGCATTTGGGCCACTTCCTCATGTAACTTACTTGTGCCCCCAGGACCTGTTTGAGCCCAATCACTTATATACCATTTCCATGTGATGATGGAATGCTGCCGCGCATGACCCACTTTATGGCTAGGCAGTTCAGGTTACATGGTGACTTGTTGACCCATAGTCAAACGTACAGTTTCCACCAAAGCCCAGTATAGGACAAAAGCTGTCTCTCAAAAGGAGAGTAGTTAACTCCAGAAGATGACCGGGCCTTGCTGCAAAATCCGAGAGTCTCCACCATGATTCACATATGGGGGTCTGCCAAAGCCTCAAAGCAGCATTCCTATCTGCCATGGACACCTCGAGGGGACCCGGCCTCCCCTTCATTCATGGGGTTCTTGATCTTTAAACTGCCTCAACTCTGGAAATTGATTGAGGGGCCATGAATCTCTGTTTTTACAATTCCAATTAGTCTTTTATCTCTTTGACCTGAAGTTTCCTCCTTACATAAATTAAGTAGGAATGCATTAGGCTTCCTATCAGTTTCACTTCTAGGAACGTTGTGGTTAATTAGCCAATGCCAGAACTCTACATGAGTTACACTGTTCAGATTGCTGCTTTGTCTTTTCTGACCATTACAGTAGCTATGCCCACAATGCCTTTGAGGGTTGTGTGTGACCACTTGGCCCCTGCCGCTTCAGGATACAATTATTCCAAATTGTATTTAAATTTTATAATTGAGTAAGTACAGTTCTCACAGCTAGATCTGACAAACAGAGAAAAGACATTACAGGGCTCTTCAAAGATGCAGGTGCTGCCCTCAAAAATCTATTTTGCAAGGTGTTTGTCAAGGGTATTAGGTACAGAGTCACTAAACTCCTTGCCTCTCACGAGAGATGATTCATTAGTGTCAAATGCATTTATTTTGCATAGCTCTTTAAACTGTTCATGCCAAGGACTATCAATGTTCTCCATACTATTAAAAGTAGAGTCCTTAGCGTTTTGGGGTCTAATCATACTTAGCAGCCAAATCCAAAAACCCCAAAACCAACAAAAAACTCCATTCTTAATATTCTGTTCCTATAGAACCATTCCTGGTACCAAAATCTGTATTAGTGAGGGTTCTCTACAGGGACAGAACTAATAAGTTCATGTATTAGTTATATATGTGTGTGTGTGTGTGCATGTGTGGGTGTGTGTGTATATATATACACATATATGTATGTGTGCATGTATATATACATACACATATATATACACGTGTGTGTGTGTATATATATATATATGAAAAAAAATATTAACTTACAGGTTCACAAGGTCCCACTGTAGGCTGTCTGCAAGCATGAGGAGGGAGGAGCAAGGAGAGTCAGCTTGAGTTTCAAAACTGAAGAACTTGGAGTCCAATGTTCGAGGTCAGGAAGCATCCAGCACAGGAGAGAGATGTAGGCTGGGAGGCTGGGCAAGACCCACTTTTTCAACTTTTTCTGCCTGCTTCATATTCACTGGCAGCTGATTAGATGCTTCATATTCACTGGCAGAGATAGATTAAGTGGAGGGGGGGAGTCTGCCTTCCCCAGCCTACTGACTCAAATATCAATATCCTTTGGCAGGACCCTCACAGGCACACCCAGGAGCAATGGTTACATCCTTCAACCAAATTAAATTGACAATCAGTATTAACTATCACAAGATTACAGACCTGAGCCATCACACATAGCCTTCTTGCATATTTCATACAATTTTCTGATTTTCCCATTTTATCTGTGACTTGATAACATTTTCCAGCTATGACCCCAAACTCATAATACTTGAAAAGGACATTCAAATGTATTTTGCGACAATTCGTAACTGGCAATATGTTGAGCCTTGTGGAAAGACTCACCTTACTTCCTTGTCAGCTGTCAATTCCCCATCATTACTATCACTTCTGGGAGCACACTTTCCTTTTCTCCCAGAAAAGGACACAAACTCCTTTTCTCTCTATGGTTTCTTTAGAGTTGCTCAATGAGATTGCAATAAGTTACAACTTACCACAGTCATGAGATTGGGAAGTCAGAATGGTGGATTCATGTAAACTGACATCTGAAGTAAAACACATGCAGTTAGGTGTGAACTGGAGAATCACCTGAAGACGTGATGCAGGCAGCTGAGAGCATCAGCAACCCCACCCTGGGCTTCCCAAACAGGTCTGAGGGCCATCACACGGTACTCAGCACATACCACCAGGGGCAGGGGCACTCCGGCTTCTGGAGGAGGACCTGAGAATCCCCTGTCTCTAGTACCTGCTTCATGAATAACATATGGTAGACTTCGGAAAGACAGTGGTTTAGACTCTAATTTATTGAACTTGAACAATTTCTCCTTGAAATACTGAGAATAGCTTCTCTTTTGCTGTAGAAATTCCAATTGTCCCATAACACAGACTATCCTCAGGTGAACTTATCTCTCTTATTTATTCTGCCAAGACAGACATTGTCACGTCTTTTCTGCTGGGGATGAGGGAGAAAGAGGCTTAGGGTTCAGAGGAACCTCCCTGGCCCCCTCTAGGAAAATCTCCCAATGACTTTCAAAACCTGACTGAGTGTGAGAAATGCCCTCAGCAGACAGAGGCACCAGAAGGAGCCCTGGGGCAGCACAGCCTCACACATCTGCTTCCTTGGGGGTTTCTGTTATGACTTGTAACACTGTGGGAGGGTTACTATAACCCTGTTGACAGTAATAAGTGGCAAAATCTTCAGGCTGCAGGCTGCTGATGGTGAGAGTGTAATCCGTCCCAGATCCACTGCCACTGAACCGAGAGGGAATCCCACTTTGCAAACTGGATGCACCATAGATCAGGAGCTTAGGAATTTTCCCTGGTTTCTGCTGATACCAATTTAAATAATTGCTAAGGCTTTGACTCGCCTGGCAAGTAATGGTCACTCTGTCTCCTACAGATGCAGACAGGGAGGATGGAGACTGGGTCATCTGGATGTCACATCTGGCACCTGAGGTTGGAAACATAAAAACAAATATTCTTACAGTTAATCATGTTATCAGAGGATTTACCTGAAGAGTCAGACAGTACAGAGCACACTGAGTGAGTACATTCTTAGTGTTCTCCTTCCTTACCTGGGAGCCAGAGCAGCAGGAGCCCAAGGAGCTGAGCGGGGACTCTCATGTCCATGCTGTGTCCTGACTGAGACTGACTCCTGCACAGGGTGTGACCAGCCTATAAAAAAGTCTTCGGGGCAGAGGGTTGTGCTCTGGGAACATGCAAATCAGCAGGGGATGGGACAGACTGGGCACAGCTGCAGGGCTGGCTCATCTCAGCAACTCAGCACAGGGGCAGTGTCCCCAGAGTCCCAGGTCAGACTAGGACAGCGCAGATTTACCTTGAGAGAATACCTTTCTCCTTGGGGACCATACGGTTACAGAACATATTTTTTGAGTTAATTTTCAAAATTGTAATGAACCTAAGACTAGAACTCATTTAATTTTAAATGAACCTAAGACTAGATTAAATAACATATTTTACACTTGTGTTAGGAGTGTATAGGAAAGCATCATTTTTGGCAGAAAATTCATAATAAAGTTGTAGAACGTGGGGCTGTCAGAACTTTCAGTTACTCTCGAAGGAACGTGATGAGTGTGACAGTATTTAGTGCGATACTAACAATGTCTCTGTCAGTGTGACATTGCTTCTTTTTTGAAATGAATATAAAAAGAACTTATCAGAAGCATCTTCAATAAATTCAATAGAATTTACTAATAAACTTAAGACATTGTTCTTAGCAGTACAAGGAAAAACAATTCGCTGAAGATGCACAAAGATGATAACTGTGTCATGCGTAGATCTGCCGTTAGCCAGAGTGATGGGTCTCTTTAAAGCCCAGGGACAAAATGGGCTGCACCTTATTCTTGGCATGACGATCCCCATATTGCATTCCCTTTCCTGACTTTGGTATAATTTCTTGTGGTTCTCCAGCATGGAGAGCTGACTGGTGATACCAGGTCTGATTATTTCAACCAAAATCTCTGTTTCACTTGCTGACTATAGGAGCCTGGATTAGTATCAACTTGAAGCCCTCTCTGAATCTTGGCTCAAATAATCAATTGTTTCAAAGTAGGATGACAAAGGCCACATCCCCTGAGTAATGCTCTGAGCTGCGCTCCCCACCAGCCTGTTTCTGGGGTCTCGGGAGCATCTGCCCAAGAACCTGGCTTTCTGGAGAGCAGGTGAGGGGGAAGCCCTGGGGAAAGGCCAGGTCAGTGAACCTCTCTCCTTAGTGAGGGTGGCTGCTGCCCAACGCATGTTCTTGCCGTGCACCAGGGCATCATCCTGACCCAGATGTCAACCTCCCTGTCTCACATCCATTTAGTGAGAATCTCCATCTTCTGCCAAGACACTGCCCATGTAGATGAAAAAGTATTTTGCACCCAAATACATCTTAAGCACTGATTTGAACCTCAATACTTCACACTGCTGCTTTTCCCCAGGACAAGTCATCCTTACTGAACAGCAGGGGAAGTGGAGTCAATTACATGTGTATCAGTGGACTGAGAAATACTCCAGGGAGAAGTTCTCATGCACGACTACCAGTGGCCAGACCAAGGTAGTGCAGCCTGTGCACAAACCTCCTGCTGCTTTTCCAGGGGACTGGATTTCTGGGAAATGGCTACCAAACAGGCTACCAGGATCCAGATATCCAGATTCAGAGAGATACATCTCTGGATTCAAATGCACTTCTTTCTTTCTGCATAATTTTAGCAGTCATTGTTACTACGCCTTGGGGGTTCATGTCATTACACTCCAGCTGACTCTCTATGGCCCTTTCTCCTCATCACTGCTCTATCTGAACCTGGGGAAGGCAGCTCAGGCTGCAAATGAGGCAAACATCATGGCCTGGAATTAGCATCCTCTAGGATGGCTGTCAATCTCTGATGACAAAGGAGGTGTACACATACCCCAGCTCCCTCACCTCTCAGGTGGAATAACAGAGGCCTTTTTCCGGAGTTTCCATGAGGGCTTGAGCTCTCGTCATCCTCAGAGGTGGCTCTTTGCTGAGGTACCTTTCACTTTCCCTTTCCCTCCTCTCTTCCCTTGCTCACTTGCTTATTTCCTGCACATTGAAAATATACTGGCTGCATGGGAATCTTTGGCATCCTTCTCACTGAGGGGACCCAACCTAATGCATTGGAAAAATCCTCATTCTTGGAGGGCATCATTTTAATGCATAGGGAAATTCCTAAAATTTAAGAAATCTTTAAATTCCCTTTGCCAATCTTTCTTAGATTTGATTTTAGCAGAGATTCATTTTTTCTAGGTCACAAAATCAAAGAAGCCTTCCACAAATGGCTACACACCATGGAGTCCACATAGAGCAGAGAGTCCGAATCCCCCAGAATTTGACATCCACACATCAGAGAGTCCTAGAGTCTCAGATTTTTTCTAGGTCTATTGCCTCATAAATCTGCCTTGTGATATTTTTATTCTACTTTAGGGGAACACCATCGTGGGGATGATGAAAGTTGTTTGGGGAATGAATCATACGCCCCTCCTAAAGACATCATTGTCCTAATATCTGGAATCTATGATTATTACTTAGTAATATGTCAAAAATAACTTGGCAGACATGGTTAAGTTGAGAATTTTGAAGTCAGGAGAGTATCCTGAATTATCTGGGTGAGACCAGCATAATCACAAGGGTCCTTATAATAGGGAGGGAGGAGCATAACAGCCAGAGGGGACATCGGACAACGGAGAGTGAAACTGGAGTGATGGAGGAAACGGCCTTGGTGCCAGGAACCTGGGAACATCAAAAAGATGGGACACTCGATATTGGATTCTCTCTCTTGAAGACTCCAGAATTAATAGAGCCCTATTACTCCTTGATTTTATTTCATTGAGACTTCTGACCTCTAGAAATGTAAGATAATACACTTGTGTTATGTGGAGCCAGTAAGGCTGTGGTAATTAGTTACAGCAGCAACAGGAAACCAATGCAAGGGGAAAGGGTGTGTTTTACTTCCCTAGTGTATCACTGTCCTAGTTCTCCCAAATAGTTATATGTTGTTGTCTTTTGCTGTCAATTTCAACAAGAGACAGAAACCATTTTTTCTATGAGGAGAGCTGCACCACAATTCTTCTTACATAGAAAGTGTCTTGAGTAATTCTGTGGGTTAAGTTTTGTACAATCTTGGTATCTGGGAGCCTGGAAGTCACCTCTCACAGCACATGAGCAGAGGAGAGGGCTGTAGGTTTGTTGTTTTAACATTCATAGGGAAAATTAGATGTACAAGACCCAATCATTTTTTTATATATACTTTAAGTTCTAGGGTGCATGTGCACAATGTGCATGTTTGTTACATATGTATACATGTGCCATGTTGGTGTGCTGTACCCATTAACTTGTCGTTTACATTAGGTATATCTCCTAATGCTATCCCTATCTCCTCTCCCTACCCCACAACAGGCCCCAGTGTGTGATTTCCCCACCCGGTGTCCAAGTGTTTCCACTGTTCAATTCCCAACTATGAGTGAGAACATGTGGTTTTTGGATTTTTGTTCTTGCGATAGTTTGCTGAGAATGATGGATTTCAGCATCATCCATGTCCCAAGAAAGGACATGAACTCACCCTTTTTTATGGCTGCAAGCAAGGACTGAGTCAGAGAGATGGGGGTGGCAGAGGAGACTAAATGTGGTCAGGGCCATGCAAGATGTGACTCTGCTGCCATATCTGAAGGAAAGGTTCTTGGTGTTTGTAAAGGCTTTGAGCAAGTTGTGCTTTGTAGACAAAACTGTAGAAGGGTCTGGGTTCAAGCTTAGTGTCAGCGTGATGGGGACTAGAATTCGCAGTGAGCTTGTGTTAAGAACTCCACCATGCATTTCTGGCTTTGTCTCTTCTCTGGTTTTATAGGTGGTGGGTTCCTCTATGGAATGAATGTGGCTCTGTGGAAGGAACATAGTTGTGGTCAGACAGACCTAGATTCCAAGTTCAGCTTCAACAACTGCTGACCAAGTGACTTTTATGCAAATCAGCCATGTGCTCTCATGAACAGTTTCCTCATGTGTGTAATGGGGCACTGAGGGTATGAAAGGGGTCCTGAGGGTTCCACCAGCTGACACACCATGAAGTGAACATACATGTAGAGACAGACACACATACACACACGAGGAGTATCTAATGCCCCTTTTATGCATCCTTGAGTAACTCAGAATGTTATGTGAGATACTACCAGTCATGTCATTTTCAACTAAAATTATCAATGTTTATCTTATAACTAAGAGATGCCTCTCTGTACACTGTAGGTTTCATGTGCATTTCTTCAATCACAAAATTTTTCACCAATCTATTTATGTCTAATATCAGAAAGTTAAGCAAGGAGATTGAAAAACCACCACAGCACCTGTAGTCTGGATTTTCCCAGAACCCCATTTGTGTTAGTGTCCTTGGGCTCCTGTAACAAGTTCTCAAAAATGTGGTAGCTTCAAACAACAGGAATGGAATCTCTCATAGTTCTGAAGACCAGAAGTCCAGAATCAGTTTCACTGGGCTAAGATCTTGGAGACATCGGTTCTAGCTCCTTCAGAAGCTCTAGGAAGGAGTCTGATTTAGCTCTTTCAGCTTCTGGTGGCTCCAGCTCTCCTTGGATGTGGACACATTATTGCCATGTCTATCTCTGTGTTCAGATTGCCTTCTTCTCTTCAGTCTATGGTAAATGTCTCTCTACCTCTTTTTTTCTCAGGACTCTTGTGTTTGCATTTAGGGCCCACTTGATTAATCTAACATCATCTCCCTGTTTCAAGTTCCTTAATTTATACCTGCAAAAGCCCGTTTCCCAAATAAGATACAGGCATATGTTTCTTGGAATGAAACCTCACTATTTGGGGATGATACTCAGCACTACACCGTCATAGATCAAGGTCTCAGTTTTAGTCCTATACACACATCACAAGCTCAAACTCTTTCTCACTCTCTCTCTCCCCATACATCTTGTCTTCCTCATTTTCTCAAGGTCATAAATCACTTCACTTCCTTAGGTGTATACAGTGACACCTATAAACAAATAAGTATCTGAGAAAATTCTCAATGAATTTAGAAATTTATTTGGTCAAAGTGAAAGACATACAAGTGAAACAGCCTCAGAAGGTCTTGAGAACATGTGCCCAAGGTGGTTGGGCTAAGTTCACTTGATGTGAGA